TCTCTGTCAACATGATCCTGCTCTGCTTCAGTAACGTTGAGGTCCAAGCTCTGTCGAGGTCAGTCCATTGAGAGTTTTCCATTGTGCGCTTTTTAAAAATTTTATGTCCAGGTACACTTTTATTGCATTGGCACTGTGTTTGGGATAAATGTTGAAAAATGAAGCTGTTGCCAATTAGATGCTTTTCAGATAGTATTACATGGTATTAAAATCTAACTGTACGTTTCTGTGTTCATAATTCCATAATTTTGACAAAATCCCCAACACAATATACTGAAATACAGCACCAAACCTTGACATAGCCTCCACTGTGTTTTACAGATGACCGTATCACTGATGTACCTCTCTACTGGCCTCCTCTGTACATACTGACAATGATTATGTGAATCAAATATACAAAAACGAGGGATGACTCATGATCTTTGCATGCTATTGTAGATTATAAAATGATCTAAAATTGAATGGATAACAAGTGTAGTACAATATTACAAAATTTTTTTATTTTTTTTTTATTTTATTTTCAAATCCCCTTCCTTCAGTAGCAAGGGCAGTTTCACAGAAGGGTTATCTGTCATGATCCTGGGTCCTTTTGACCCAGCGTTTGTGTACTCTGTTCTGCCCGTGTGTTCCTGTATCTAGTCCGTGTTTTTTAGTTTGTGTCCTTTCATGCGTAGTTCCTGTTTTATTGTGAAGGTCTGCGTCTTATGTGAGTGTTTTCAGTTTGCCTCCCTAGTCTCGTCACGTTAATCACTCCCAGCTGTGTTCCCCACCTGTGTGTAATCTCCCTGTGTTCTCTGAGTGTATTTAAGTTGTGTCTTCTGTCATAGTAGTTGCTGGTTCGTCTGTGTTGTTTCCCCTCGGTCTCCCTGCATCTCTCCTTGTGTATTTCCCCGGACCTCCTTGCATCTTCGTTTGTGGTTTGTTTTGTTAGTTTTACCCAGTTTAGGTTCCAGTTTCATGTTCCCAGTGCCTTTGTTGTTTGTTTTTCCCTTCGTTAATAAATACTCACCTGCACCAGAGCTGCCGCGTCCTGGTCCTAAATATTCCACACGGCTTGCCCCGGCAAACCGTGACATTATCTTGAAATCTTTTTTCCCCCAACTGGTTTACATCTAATCTGAAATGACATTTAACTCCAGCAATTCTAAACCCGTCTCGTAATGGCAACCTATTGCTGCAGACAGGAAACTGCCAATCGCATTTTGCCAAGCTGTATCAGAATGCTAATGTACGCCTCACGTGCACGTTACAGAAAATTTGACATGAAGAAAAGGATGTATTCAGAACGTCACCTTGTGCAAAATAAAGGTTTGGAAAATAAATGTGCAAAACATTCACGCTGATCTTTAAAAGTAGTAACAACATGTATATTCTGGGCCTGTTATATAAAACTATTTTCTTGTGTTTTTTTTTTATTTATTCATGATTGCTTAATAGTGCCTCTGCTTGGATTAGAGAAACAGATTAAACACATAAAATGTGTTTGTTGTGTAAAGTGGCAGCATGATTACACTGTCAGGAGAGGCACACTGTATCATACAGTATGGTTTATGATGTACAACTAAGGCTGTAAAGTGGTGTTAACTTATTAGACAAAAAGTGTTTTATGATACAAGTCCTTCACAAGTCTATAAAAAGAGTTGGTCACAGTGATAAATGAATCAAACTGACAGGCAACTGACTCGGAAGTTGACAGGCGGTAAATCTAAGTCCCCCAGAAGAGACACCTGATTGTTACAGAACTCTCTAAAAACAAAATCTTTTTGTGTTATACATCTTAAAAAGTAACTTCAAAATCACTTTTTTGGATTATTTTTTGCCCTTTAATCTATGTATATGATTTCTTACCACATATTCTATGTTTTTCATTCAAACCTTCTACTGTACTCTGTTCAGGTCTGAAACTCAGTTCATCTTGTAAAAAAAATTACTGCTGACTGAGGTGTAAAACCTCTGAACTCCATGAATCACCCCCCCGTCTCTGTGCCTCTGTTTTCCTGTCTTGCTCTCTGTCCCCCTCGCCCACTTCACTGTCCTTCACTCCCCCTCACCAGTCTTCCAGTCTGCAGTGCCATTTGTCTCACTAAAAAGTCTAAAAGCATGGCAGCATTCTCTCGTGCTTTTTACCCTCTGCTCAGTTCTTTCCCCCCCACCTCTTCCCCTCTTTCTTGTGCTCTCTGTACTTGGACTCGGCTGTAATTGCTTATCTAGGGAGAAATAAATGCCAGGTAAATGGTTACATGTGTGAGAATGTGTATGTGTGGTAGAAAGAGAGAAACTGTATAGTCCTTTACATGCAGGCCTTTGAATGTGTGTGTGTGTGTGTGTGTGTGTGCGTGCGTGCGTGCGTGCGTGCGTGCGTGTGTGTGTGTGTGTGTGTGTGACAAATGCAGATAGTTCTACAGATGGCCCATAAAAGCAGCAGCTTGTAATGAAGCAACTGAGACTGAAATCATGGTTATGGTAAACTGGGGAGAGACTGAGATAGCGAAAGAGAGGCAGAGATAGATAAAGAGAGAGAAATGAGAGGAAGAAGAAGTGTGGGTATGAGAGAATAAATAAGAGAGGGCAGGCAGCAATAAACCACGGTGAAGAGCGTGGCATAGCTGCTGGCTACTGAATAAACTAGTGTAATGAAAGTGTGTGATGTTCACAATAAACTAGGTAGGAAAGAATGAAAGGAGGAACAGGGAGATGGACATAAGGGTTGATATATTAGTATGGATAAAACAAGGGAGAAATAGAAAGGAGGGAGGTGTTGTCAAAGGTTTTTTGTTGAGGATAAGGTAGTAAGGGAAGAGAAGGGGGGAATCGATGGATGGAGGTCCAGAGAAGGAGAGGGGTAAAAACAACAGAAGTGGGAATGAAAGCCTAACAAGACAGCAGAAACAGATGGAGTAAAGAAGCTGGACAGAAAATAGTAATAGTGAAAATGACAAAGGGGGAAACAGTGCAAAAAGATAGATAAATGGAAAAAGTGATGGAGATACCAGTCAAGCTCCAAGTAGCTAAAATGGGAAACTGTTTGTTAGCGTGTGCCCTGGATTGCACTCTGGACCACCAATGTTAATGTTTGTGTGTGTGTTTGGATGAGAGTAAATGTGTTCCTGGTAGGATGCTCAACAACAACAAACATCCTGACACCAAGTGGGGCCATGCTGACTGGTAAAATCGATAGGCCAACGGGTCGCAACACTAGGCCAACCTGACATCCAATCACAGTACAGCACAGGGGTTCGCCACAGTGATGGATGACCATGGTTGTGTGTGTGTGCGCATGTGCGCTAATGTCCAAGTGTGTCTTGTCAGTGTGTGTTTCCCTGTCACTGTGTGTGTGGAGATAAGGAGAATGGCAATTAGAGGTGTGTGTGTCAGGGAGCTGGCAGGCAGACTTAATGACATGTACACATGCATATACGCATTTAAGAGATATGATAATAACAAAAAGAAAGCTGACAGGTTTATTTTAAAGGAAAATGAAAAGACAGGTTGATTGTGGCCACATAAAAATTCCAAATATAAATGTCCACATAATCACCCGCACTGTGGCTAAAGGGGAAGGAATGGGATGTAATTGAAAAGGTATGACAGTAAAGTCATTTTATAAATGAATCTATCAGCCGGCCAATTCAAGAGTCATATCATCCGTTCATTTACTGACGTTAAATCTCCTCTACCTGCTTTGTGAATAGTAATTACAAATTATTGCAGTTAGTATGACAGAGAGCTCCCTGCTGCTGTACTAGAGCTTTTTACAAACTTATTTTGGGTATTTTTGCAGTTCAAGGAGTAAAGTGAAAGATTTCCAGAGTTTCTCGTGACATTTAAAGAATATGTGTTGCTATACCGCCACCTCTCATTTGGGAGCATAGTCTTCCTCACCACTGCTGTTGATTTCTGTTTTTCTAATCTTTTCTCTCTTCCTTTAACATTTTGCTTTCTTACCTTTTTTGCTCTCCGTGTCTTAGTAGTTTCATAGTTCTATCTATCATGCTGGGCATCCTGCTCCTTTCCCTCTCTGCCCCACCACCCTCACCAATCCACAGTTCCCTCTCACCCCTATCTGTCTAGTTCCTGCTCCCCCTCCCTAACCCCGCATCTGTCTGAACTGTTTCATAGTTGTATCAATCAAGTTCAAACAATAAGACCAGAGTTGCTCCCTGTGCGCCCATCTACTTCCTGTTTTATGGCTTGTAATACCCCTTCTCCCCCTGTCTCGCTCTCTCACTCCCTCTCGCGCTTGTTTGTGCGTCTGTGTTGGCGGATGTTTATAAGCCTACAATTGTGCATACGTCTTTGGCACAGAACTGCAAATTAATCTAGCGGGAAGAGGGGGGATTGAAAAGAAACTTTAGCATTTCCGCCCTTTCTCCGAGGCTGAATTTTCTCTTCTTTGATTGCAAAGGCAATCCAACTGCCCATTTACAGCCATCGTGCTCGGCAGTATGTATTTGTAAAGACCAGTAGGCTCCCAGCTATGTCTGCGCTTGGAGCAATACTCTGGAATAGGCTGTAATGGAGGTATTTAAACTGCATCACCACAATGCAAGTGTCTTGCTTTTCTGACCCCAGAACTGTTTTTAATGACAGACGCAATAGGACCGGGCTGTAACACCATGTCTACACAGAAGACACAGTGTGAGCTGCACATTAGCAGAGCAGCAGCAGCTCTGATTCAGTCACAGTATTGAGCTGTGGGTCACCTGTGTTTTGAAAGCCCTCAGAGCACAACATAAAATAAAATAACCATTGGTGAGACCGTGTGTGTGTGTGTAATATACGGGAACTAGAAGCAGAAAAAAACTGTTTGGATTATGGGGGTAAGCATAACTGAAAGGTTCACCCGGACTGATTGAAATTGATCGTCTGTTTAGTTAGATGTATGTGTGATCTGACAGACTGAGACAGAAAAATGTATATTTTAATATTTTAACCAAATTAATCCCAAAACAAAACTGATAAAAGCCTTCATCTCTCTCTTTTTCTGTCATCTTTTGCAGAACTGCACAGTTCATCTTGTGGAAACCCTGGTGTCCCACCCAAAGCGGTGCTAAGTGGTGGAGGAAGATTTGCAGTGGGAGACAGTGTGCGGTACAGCTGTGTCCCTGGTTATGTCTTAGATGGTCATGCGACACTCACATGCATCACCAATGCCGGAAATGCCGCCGTCTGGGACTTTCCCGCTCCCATTTGTCGAGGTACGGACTCCACGTGTTTTTGTGTTGTGCGTGTGCAGGCGCGTGTTTATGTGTGTGCATGACTAGATGTGAAGAGTTTTTGTCCAATTTGAAAATAAATTCAAAATCGACCTCTATTTTCAAGATCTTACTACTATACATGTGTCAAATGAAATGGAAAAAAAAAATGCTGAAAATGTTCAAAAAGACTCAAGCAATCTTCAAGATAACAGAAATGTTGACCTCTATGTGGAATTTTATGGGGAAAAAAGCTCTTCATATATTTATGTGTACTGTGTTTAAGTGTCCCTGAGAGAAACAGGAAAACAGACAGACTGCATGTGGGCAGAACAAGGCTTGTGTGCATGCATGTGTGCAGGCACAGAGTGACGCAGGCAAGAGTGTGTAAAGTGTGCATATAGTGCGTGTGTGTGTCAGATCAGTGTGTGGAAGTTTACTGAAGTAGAAGTTTTTAAAATGTTTTAATTATTGCTGTATGCCACACTGCAGCATTTATGTGAATTTATAGCAGACATGCACAGTTTGCTTTAAACATAAAAAATTAAGTGAACAACTGGAAAAACCTGAGTTTGGAGTTTAGGTGTGATTTTTTTTTAATGCAATCCTCTTGATGACTTTGATTGACTCAGGAAATGACACAATGCATGTCCAAAAAAGATTTTGAATATTTCCTTTAAGGTCCAATTTACAATTAAACATCTCAGATTGTTTTAAACTTGATCAAATCATATAGGGAGGTAATAATATCTATGTTGACCTGCCAGGGATTCCAGGAAGAGCATGTTTGGCTACATCTGGCACACTAACATGATCCAGGTTTTTATGTTACTCAGTGTTCTTCCCCCCCCCCCCTTTTTTTTTATTTATAAAGTTTTGCACATATAATTTGACATATCAGGCCCAATACAGCAAGTACCAACCGATACAAAGATATATATCAAGACAGATTATGCTATTAGAATTTGGATGATAACAATAAAACAGAAAAAAGAAAAAGAAGAAAAAAAGGGGGAAAGGAAGAAAAACAAAAAACAACAACCCACACACAGAAAACAACAACAAAAAACCCCAAAAAACCAAAACAACCCCCCCCCCAAAACCAGAACAAAAGGGAACCCCATGATACAAGTGTTTTCAATGAGTTAAAGTAAATGATAAAAGGCTGCCACATCTGTGAGAGCTCATTAACATTTCCTCTGAGTCTGAATTTTATTTTCTCCATTTTAAAGAGAACATAACATCTTCCAGCCAACGTGATCAGGCTGGAGTGTGAGGAGCTTTCCAAGACACCAAAATTCGGCGTCGTGCCAGCAGTGAAGTGAATATATATATATATAATATCCAGTTGCTTACGACTAAGGTTTAGGGTGGCCTCTTCAGAAACACCAAAAATGGCAACTAGTGGGCATGGTTTGAGAGTAACGCTCAAAACACGAGAGAGCACTTCAAAGTAAAAAGTCCAGTATAATTGAAGTGATGGGCAGGCAAAAAACATATGAGTTAAATCACAGGGGGAGGTGTTGCATCTGTTGCACAGGTCAGGAATGCCGGGGTATATTTTAGATAGTCTAAATCTTGAGAAGTGTAATCTGCATACTGTCTTAAACTGAATAAGGGCGAGTCTTGCACATGAGGCTGAGGAATGAATTTTGTCAATTACTTTGTCCCAGTAACCTTCAACAAACTGAAGACCCAGTTCCTGTTCCCAACTCGAAGCAATTGTCTTGGTTGAGTAATTGCTTGATGCCATAATTAAAGTATATATTTGTGATATTAGAGTCTTACTGTGAGGCTTCAACTGGAATAAGTCTTCCCACCAAGGCTTGAGAGGCTGACTTGAAAACTCTAGCAAGATAGAAGATGCACAGTGTCTTATTTGAAAGTAGTGGAACAAATGGTATGAGGGCAAATCATACAAAGGACAAGTCCTCAAAGAATGACTTAAAGTCCGCTAGCAATGCAGCTCTATGCTCCTCAAGTATTAAGCTAATCTCGGCTGCAGTTACAGGTGCCGCAGATGTCGAGGTTTCTCGGTCTCGGTCTTGTTTGCCCTTTGACTTTGACATTCTTTGGATCTTCAGTAATCGACAAAGGCAAAAGACATCCAAAACTGGGAATCAAAATCTCAAAGAAGTAGGTTCGTTAGGTAAATGCTGAGCCGAGTAGCGGAGCGGACCTAAAACACGTCTACCCAGTAAACGCCATTACCGGAAGTTCCCATGTTACTCAGTGTTCTTTGTCCCTCCTTAAATGTACAGTGGACACTGTTGCTGTAAATTGTGTAGAACCTGCAGATCCCTAGCTGCTGACAGCTCATTATTTTACTTTGCCAATCAATGTTGTTGAGTCCCAATGGCTCTTGTTGTCCCTCATTTATAAAACTTTGTGTTGAAAGTTCATGGAAAAGGCAACATAGACACACTTTTCTTGGCAGTTTGAGGAACTAAGGCAATAGTATATCTGAGGTACAATTGACAGTTCAAAGATGTTTCCATATATGTGCAGCCTTAGGGGACCTGAATCAAAAGCACTCTGTTTGTGTCATTTATTGCTGGAGTTATCTACTGAGTTCATATTTGCCGTGGGTCCTAATTAAAAATATCACACACCATCATTTAGGCAGGGGCACTCTGTCACTCATTTTAAAGGACGCAGGCACAGGCATGAAACTAAGTTATTTTATCTATATAATATTTAGATATTGGTTAATTGGGTACACGAATACGTAAGTATAAGTATAAAAGTAAGTATAAGGCCACTTACTTTTGTGAGGGCGTTGTGGTGTGGAAAGAGAACCCAAACACAGGCCTCGCAGGCAGATTGAGGATGTGGATGGTGTTTATTATAAATGTAGGGTGAACATAACATGAGACGGGTGGACGGACGGGCTGAATGGCTAACTGGGCTGAAGTGAACTGAAATGAAAAACTCACACACACAATTGACGATGACAAGACAGTGAACTGCGAGAAACTGAGGGTTTAAATACACTGGCTAATGATGATGATAAGAGACACGTGAGAACACAGCTGAACTGAACAGAACATAATGCATAATGCTAACATAATAAAGCAGGAAACGTGAAAACTAAACCGTGACAAAGTAAGAACTGAAAACACTGGGTCAACAACCCAGGAACCCTGACAACGTTTTAATAAAATATACTTTTTTTTTTTTTGTGATCAACATTTTATTAATTTAAACGGGGTTTGGGGGGGGGGGATACAGACATATACAGCACAACTGTAAACTGCAGTAGCAAAGCAAACATTAGCAAACAAGGCATAGGGACAGCAAAGAAAAGACACAAAAACACAAAGTTAAAACCAATTATTGTCTCTTCCAGGAGATAACTCTGGATGAGAAGATTTTCCAAGCGTCAACAGTCGTGGGTCGAGCTTTATTTAATTTTGCTGTGGTATGTTCAAAACCAATAACACGGATAGACATAGTCTCCAGAATGATTCCATACAAATGTCAGGACAGAACCATTGCTTTGTAATAGTCTTCTTTGCAGAAAATATACATTTTTTTGAAGTTGAACATCAGGGTAATGTAGGCACAACAGTAACTCACTGGAGTAAAAGTCACTCCACCTTTCATTACTGAGATTAAAATCTATTATTTGTTTATTTTCAAGCTCTATATAGGCCCCTATATTTTCAGTGACAGGTATAATCCAGAAAGACCTGTCATTTTTCAGAGATTTAGCTGCAACGGAGGAGTTATATTTCGCTATATATTTCAAAATGTTTTGCATTCACACAGCCCAACATCATCACACTTTCTCTTTCCTTCACTGTTGAAAGTATGCATTCACTGTGGTACTACTACTAATATTGGTTTTATCCAATCAGATAATATATCTCCAGTTTTCATCAGGCTTCTTTTTTAAAAAAAGAAAATGATTACAATTATACAGTTTTTATTTTGATAGACAACTGACAGATATAATCCTCAGTTAAGGGCTTATGGCCTGTATTTTCCATATAGTCCAGTCTTAATGTCATGCTTTTTTGATTTTTCACTAGAGGAAACATTCAGTTTGTCAACTTAATTATAGGGAGATAATACTGTTATGATTATCTGACATTTAAGTCATATTGTACATTGTTGTACCTTACAGTGTAGCCTTATGTGCATGGTTAATTTGTCAGAGGTAAGTTATATTTTTAAAAAATTAATGCTCTTTTCAATTGGCAAGAACACCCAGTAGATGCAATCAATGCAGCCCAACCCCCTGCGACTGAATTTTAAAAACAATCCAGGGAATGTCAGCATTATCTTACTGCAATGAACAAATCTGCTCTGTTTTAGTCTAGCTCTGACTTCCTTAGACCAATTACACATTAAACATTTTAGCCACTGTTAAAGACTTAAAGGCTTAGATTTTGGTTTTGTTTTGTGTCCTTTGACTAGTTCAGTTCTGTCTGTTTATGAATCAGTTAGTTGCCTGTAGTGGTTTAAAGTGCAGCAGAAACACCCTTCACTAGTAGTGCAGGGAAGACATGCCCTCCCATGTTACTGGGTTCAATTCTTCTAATATACAGAGATAATTTTAAGGTTCTTTTATATTATTTTTTAACTTGCTCGGAAAACTAGCAGCAGGTGACATCTCTGAAATGATCCATTATTCCACTTTCACATCTATTACTTGTGCTGACTAGTCACTCTTCTGTACTGTTAACATCCAAAGGTATCGGGAGTTTTTTTAAAAGGTTTTTTTCCCCTTTCTAATAATCCTCATAAATATATCAGAGAGAGCATTTTATTTAATGACTTTTTCTTTTTTCTTTTTAGTCTGTGCATTTATGTATGTTTATGTTGCAATTTTATCTACTTATTTACTGCTTTTATTGATATTGTTTCTCTCATTATGCCATTGTTTTATTTGGTCATTGCATTGTTTTGACTAGTTTAAGTGTCTTCTAATTTTCTGGCTCTGTAAAGCAGTTTTGCTTTCCAGCCTTTGCCACTTTTAAATTAACTGTAGAAATAAA